TGCCTGAGTGAAGTCTCCTCATTTGCATCTGAACCTGGTATTAGATAGTAGAAAAAGTAAATAAAGGCAAAAACATCGCAAGACAGCATCTCTGTTTTCCTTTTTCGTGTGTAAATGTAAAAAACGAGTCTTTCATATGCTTCATTTACATGTGCACAAAAACATATAGCAAAGAAAAAGCCACATTCGGCAAAATACAAGTGTACATGTGGACGTAGATTTTGTGTCTCTGTTTTCTGCTGCAGGTGAGAGACGAAAATTGCTGCTCAGTCCTCCCTTTGCGCTTCTTTTCTACACTCAAGCAGCATTTCATTTATCACAAGTGCTCACATGCAAACATACCAACACTACTCACTCACTGACATATCACATAATTTTTTCCATATAGTGTTTTTGACATCCCATTATTTGTTGTGACCTTTGAGCTATTTGTAATACTGCAAAGTGTTTTTTACGATAGCATCAAGTGATTTCAGTTTGTGTGGCGGGAGGAGGAAAACAGTGGAGCAATCTACAATTCTTGAGGAGTGGACTTGCAGGCTTTTATTGCATAAAAAGACAGGACTGTAATGGTAAGGTGCAAACTGGATCACAAAACAACTACATTTGATTGCCAACACAACTTTTAGCATGTGTTAGCATGTCTGTGAAAGCACCTGCACAGACAGCCTGCCAACACAAATGTAGCCAAGCTGAGCACAGCAGCCAGAGCCTGAACTTCAACAGGTAACAAAGACAGTAATTAGCAGTTCACCTTGCAGTGTTGTATGTCCCATTTCTATCTGTATGTTTCAGCACTGGATGTGTAGTTAGCTTAGTTGCCTTCCAAGCAGGTTTGTGATTCCTGGCCAAAGTAAAACTGTTTTGAGATTGTAACTCAGGAGGAAGAGTGGGTTGTTTACCGATCAGTGAGTGAGAGGTTACTCTGATTACTCTGCATATCTAAGTGAGCTTGGGCAATATACTGAACCCTAATGCTTTCATGTGAGTGAGTGCAAATGTTAAACAATATTGTCTAACATGTTGAATGTAAATGTTGAATGTCTGTTACTTGGTGTAAAAAGCTAATTTAGAGCTCCAATTGAGTGAAAAGCTTTTATTGCTTTTATTGTTAATGTACAAAAAAACAAGAGCATGCAAATTGTGTCAAAAAATTCATTGTGCTACTAGCACAACCTTTGTCCTCAGCAGATATCTGCACAGACAATAATAACATAACGCTAGAGAAGATCCTAGAGTGACATCAAAGCTGAGTGTATGCAGACCTGAGCCCAGCAGCCAGAGCCTGAACTTCAACAGGTAACAAAGGCAGTGATGAGGAATTAGGCTTGGACACCGGAGCCTCCATTTGACCTGCATTTTTAAGTATTGGTGGTATACTTATTAGAGCTAAGGCTACAGCTATCGATTATTTTGGTAATCGAGTTAGTTATCAGTTAGTCCGTCTTTTAATCGGATAAGAAATGCTTTTGTCTTATTAATGAGCAATAAAACCCATTCAAAGAAAAAAAACAACCCACAGGTCTTTCAGAATGAACTGCATATTAGTTTGCATTTTAGAAATTACAATGTTTTAAAGTTTAACTGCATAAAATAGATTTTTTTATAAAAAACCAACAAAACTAAACTCTTTGATTGGATGTACATTTCATACTGAAAACATTTTCTTAAATTCAAAAATATATAAATAATCTCAAGTACGATCAAAGGGCAAAATCAAATAAAATAAGATATATACGCAATCGAAAATAAAGCATACCTTTACTCTGTTTTCTTGCCTGTTTTCTTGGAGGCAACTTTTTGTCCTGCGGAAAACAGACGCTATGATGATATAGACGTTAACTAATAGCGTCCAACCGAACAACAACCCTCACGTCAGTGGCTCAGAGTTGCCCATGTACATTTTTATTGGCCTGTGAAAAAATCTTTTATTTTTATATTTTTAAATGCGAATCCAGTTTAATTGATAAAATATTTTATATTACTCCACTTTCAATCTAAAAAATGGTACGAAAGCCTTGAACTAAATCTGGACTAGTACACCCCATGCCCCCCTTTAGAGTCACCACTATTTGCTGGAGGTATCGCTTCCATATAAAATTTGAATACACCTTCTGGAGGCTTACTGCAGACTTTTTGCTGTGTAAAACAAACAGTGGTGGAGGGAAATGCCAGTTTCCTTTTCCTTTTCTTCATGTCGGAGTTTATTGATCAGGTGGTTTGATGAAGGACTCCTGCTAGCTTTTTCCCAGTTAAGGTTTTAATGGTGATTACAGGAACAGGGCCTCTGTTTTGAACACTAGAAACACTCTTTCTTTTACTCAGTTTGAGCTTACCATCTCATTAAAAAAAACTGTGGCAGCGTCATCATCACTGCTGCTATGTTATCTGTGTTTTTGTTTAAAACTGGGGGCTGTGTGGGCTTAATGTTTTCGGACTTTTTATTCCAACACTGCTCCTAAATACGTTCCTACTGCAGAGCTGTTTTTAGTTACAAGAATGAAATGTTTGTCTTTTCATCATTTAACACAGCAGTCCCCAATCCACCACTCCGTGAGGCGTTTGGTACCGGGCCGTGACAGTTGAGGCTTGGGTGTGAAATGTACTGTTTTCAGGGTTTTTATTGTTTTTTATCGTTATTTTTTTTAAAATCATTTTTATCATTGACTCGGTTTCCCTGGGTTTTTTCCTGTGTGTTATGAAGAATTCTTTTTTTGGGTGCCGGTACTGGTTTTATTTTGTTATATTTGTTTGCGACACCTTAAAGGCCGGTCCGTGAAAGTATCATCGGACACAAACCGGTTTGTGGCACAAAAAAAGTTGGGGACTGCTGATTTAACACATCGGCATACTGCAGAGTCATGTGTTAAATGATGCACTGTCTGTGTCAAGAGTTTTATAATCAAATTACTGGAATTACTCGATGAATCGTTGCAGCCGTAGTTAGAGCAGTTGATCCGGGTTCGATTCTGAGTCAATGCAAAGCTGCTTTGCTGCTGTAGTGGAGAGGAAGAGCAGGTTGTCTACTGTCCTTGGCTGATCTACTCTTTATGTAAAAAAATATTTTTGGGCAAGATACCGTACCTGATGAGCCTGTGTGTGTGTGTGTTTGTGGGTGTGTATGTGTGTGCAATTGTTAGACAAGGTGCGGGTGAAATAACTCCCCAGACTAAGCGGAAAGGTGCTTTATACGCACCAGCAATCACTTCAAAGTTTGTTGTTGTTGTTTTTGTGTTTGTACTATAAGAAAAATCATATGTGTATTCTCATTAGCATATATGATGAGGATAGGGGTTTAACTTTTTGAGTAACGACATTCAATTACAATTACAATTAACATTCTGATAACTTTACCCTCCGACCTCTTTAAATGTGGGCACGTCTGGGTCCAACAAGTCCACATTAACAAAAATGTAGTAAACAATCGCACTAATAATACAACAGCAATCCAACAAAGTCACAGGACTCAGTTAAAATCATCCACACTGTCACAAAAATAGCGAGTAAATTCATTCAGTGTTTCCTCGCTCAGCTCTCTCTCTCCGTGTGGTTTCTAAGGTCTCTCCATCTCTCTCTGTTACCGGCAGGCAGCCAATCATCTGCAGGGTCTCGCGCCTCCTGTTTTCGCCTCACCTCGCCTCAGTGCCAATCAGACCGTTCACACTGCGCACACGCCACGGCACGTCGCCACGGGCGCCGCTGACAACAGGAGACACGGCGGAGGGCACAAGCCACCACACACACACACCTCCCCTCCCTGTTACTGAACATCAGCGTTGTGTGTACCCCCTGCCACCACCCTCCCTCCTCCCTCGCTCCCTTCACTCTGTCGCAAGAGCGACGCACGTATCCGTTCATAACCTCCGCCATTATTCATCACCCCCTACCCCCTCCCTCTCCCCCGTCCTTCTCCTTTCTTCCCATGGTGCCGTTTTTTTTCCTTTCCTCGAGCTCGTCTCTTTTTCCCACCCCTGCAGGGTCTCCACAGAGCTGCTTCCTCCTCGCCTCACCCGGGCTAATTTAACGCCTCTCTCTCTCTCTCTCTCTCTCTCTCTCTCTGTGTGTGTGTGTCTCTCTCCCTGCCTCGCACTGGCTTGTGCCAAGCCCAGGTGATTATCCATCCGCCCCCCGTTACCCCCTCCATTCCTCCTCCTCCTCTCCTCGGTACCAACAGACCGACAAATCCCTCCCGGTGCTCCTTTCTCCCCCCTACCCCTCCTCTCCTCTCCTTTCCTCTCTCTCTCTGTCTCCTTCCCGCCAGCCATGATCCGTGGCGGGCTAATTCCCAGACGGTCTTCTTCCTCTTCTCCTCCTTCCTCCTCTTCTTCTCATCACCCTCTTCCTCCACCACCTCCTCCTCCTCGCGGGCCCGGTAAGTAGCAGCAGCAGCAAGCGCCGTCCATCTTCTCGTTTACTCCTCCTCTCTCTGTCGGACTGCATGCTGTGTTCACGGTATTTACCGCTCGTTATCGAGTCTGGCTATTTTTTTTTTTTTGATTGACCCCCCTCCCCCCCAACACTCACCCTCCCCCCTCCCTCTCCTCCTTCTTCCCTCCTTCCTTTTCCTTTCTCGTGCTGTGCCGGGGGAGGGGGAGGAAGGAGGGGAGGTGTTAATGTGTCGCGTGGGAGAGCCGTTTTCCCCCCTCGCGGCCGGTGGCCACCATGACCTTCTGTCGGAGCTCGCGCCAGCCCGGTTGACCAGACAGGGTAATTAGTTACGCCTCGGGGGAGTGGGAGAGTGGTGGTGGTGAGGAAGGGGGGGGGG